CAAGAGCAGACTCGTCCGCCCTCAGACGCACTCACAACGCGACTCGCTGACACAATATACCGCCGATCTAATTTTAATGTATTATTTATGTAACGGAACTATAAAATGAGCTTAATCCCAAGGCAGCTGAGCTCGTTCATTCCCGGAACACACGAGGAGGGGGGAGGTGGAAGGAGAAAGGGAGGGAGGGGAAAATGACTGAAATCACGATCCCAGAACACTTGGATCGCGATCCAAGTGTTCCTCCTACCATGGAAGACTTGGATCGCGATCCAAGTGTTCCTCCTACCATGGAAGACTTAGATCGCGATCCAAGTCGTTGAGGGGGAGGACGGGGGAAGGCAGAGGAAGGAGACTCGGAGAAGATTAGGGGGGAGGTGTGGGGACACACTTGGATCGTGATCCAAGTGTCCCCGCGTTGGCGTCGGAGACGTCGGAGACGTCGGGGAGCAGAGTCGGGGAGCAGAGTCGGGGAGCAGAGTCGGGGAGCAGAGTCGGGGAGCAGAGTCGGGGAGCAGAGTCGGGGAGCAGAGTCGGGGAGCAGAGTCGGGGAGCAGAGTCGGGGAGCAGAGTCGGGAAGCAGAGTCGGGGAGCGGAGTCGGGGAGCAGAGTCGGGGAGCGGAGTCGGGGAGCAGAGTCGGGGAGCGGAGTCGGGGAGCGGAGTCGGGGAGCGGAGTCGGGGAGCAGAGTCGGGGAGCAGAGTCGGGGAGCGGAGTCGGGGAGCAGAGTCGGGGAGCGGAGTCGGGGAGCAGAATCGGGGAGCGGAGTCGGGGAGCAGAGTCGGGGAGCGGAATCGGGGAGCAGAGTCGGGGAGCGGAGTCGGGGAGCAGAGTCGGGGAGCGGAGTCGGGGAGCAGAGTCGGGGAGCAGAGTCGGGGAGCAGAGTCGGGGAGCGGAGTCGGGGAGCAGAGTCGGGGAGCGGAGTCGGATCTTCCACAACATGTGTTTGGATTTCCTGGTGCCGCTTCGCCTCAGGGTTCCGAGCGGGGCCTCTGGGGGGCCTCTTGTGGTCCTCTTGGGGCACTCATCGGGGCCTCTTGGGGCTCTCTTGGGGCCCTCTTGTGGCTGTTTTGCATCCTCTTGCGGCTTGTTTGGGGCCCTTCGGGGGGCCTCTTGCGGCCAACTCTGGCGGCAAGGCTCGACATGCGTCAGCTGTGCTAGAAGAGTTGAAGAGTTTTCACATAGCCGACGAACACCCCAAGAGGGCTCAGACGGTTCACGCGCCCCCCCCGGGGGGTCCGGCGCGGTCTGCCCCCCTCCTTCCGGGGCCCTTGCGAAGGCAATTCTGTGCTGCAAATCGCAGGAAAATAATTATGCCGTTTTCTACGTGGGACGATTTTTTGGCATAATTCTTTCCCCGCATTCGCCAATCCCCATTGGGGGCCCCCGGGCGGCCCAAGAAAGCCCCCGCACTGCCCAAGAGATCCCCGAGGAGGCCCCACGAGGGCCCCAGAGCGAGCCCACAGATGCCCGAGCCGGCCGCAAAACGGAACCATCTTGGGGCCCTCTTGGGGCCCTCTTGGGGCCCGGGGTTCTCACCTTACGTTGGTGCTTCGCGGACCGTCGTCCAAGCTCTCTGGGGGTCCTCTTGGCGCCCAATCCAGATCCAGCGAGCGGCGTAGGGGGAGGAGTACATCCCACCCCGAAGGGGAAGATGGGGGTTCGAAGAGAGACCGCCGTAGATCACCCACGCCCAGAGGTCTGGTGGAATTCTCGACCATGCGGGGACTGGGACTTTTTGAGTTGCCATTCGAGGTTCAAGGAGATTCACTGTTGCCGCTGCGGCCGCTGCCGCTCCTTGGCTCTTGGCGCCACCCGAGGGGTCTGTCCCGCAGGGGCCCTCGTAGGGCCGTAGGGCTTCCGCCCCCTCCGCCCCCCGATGTTGTAGCCATCTTGCTTCATGGCATGTCGGCCCAAGGGTACGCGGGCCAGCTGCAGCGCCCGCGATCCGCGGGAGGGGTGTGCCGACATGGGCGTCGGGTGTCCGCGGCCTCTCGAGGTCTTCATGAGGTCTGTCCTGCAGTGGCCCTCGTAGGGCCGTAGGGCTTCCGCCCCCTCCGCCCCCCGATGCTGTAGCCATCTTGGCTCGTGGCATGTCGGCCCAAGGGTACGCGGGCCAGCTGCAGCGCCCGCGATCCGCGGGAGGGGTGTGCCGAAATCGGCGTGAGCTGCGTCACTTCTGCTGAAGGTCTTTGGGGTACTGTCTTTGTCTTTACTACTCGAGGGCCCGTAGGGCTTCCGCCCCCGCCGCCCCCCGGATGCTGTTAGCCATTTTGCTCGTAGCACCTCGCTCAGGAGTTCGCGGGCCAGTCTACAGCGCCTCGCGATCCGCGGTATGTGTGCCAGACATTGGAGGGCCGGGTCGGTGGGCTCTCGAGGTCTCTGGAGTCTGCCGTGAAGGGCCCTCGTAGGGCCGTAGGGCTTCCGCCCCCTCCGCCCCCCGATGTTGTAGCCATCTTGCTTCATGGCATGTCGGCCCAAGGGTACGCGGGCCAGCTGCA